GGGTGTTCAAACTTCTATTCCAAACTTTCTAAAATATAAATTAGTTTTTCTTGTTTTTTTTTATGCGACACACTATACCGGGTGCGTCTCAAAAGTGTTCAACCCCTATAACTTTTTTATTTTTTCAGTTAAAAGCACGAGATTTGGTATGTTAGTATATGACATAAATTGGCATTGATTGACGTATTCAATTGTTTTTGGTCACTTCCTGTTTCACCGGAAATGACTACAACTTTTGATTTATAAATGGCACCCTCGGTATTTTTTTACTATATTCGATTGAAAATGACACTCTGAATCGAATGACATATCACTATCACCAACTATACAACTATACAACGTCAACTTTTGACATATTCGCTCAAAAACAAATTGTATTTTAAATTTCAATCTAGAGTGCCATGACTGTGTTAAAAACACTAACTTTTAATCAAGGAGCCTTGGAAAAATATATTTGATCGTCTAATGTTTTTAGCATCTTGTTCTGGCCGGTTAAAAGATGCCCAAATCGTATCGTTAAACATATCTCAATTTTTTCAAATGGAACGAGGGTGGCTCAATAGCATATTTTGAAAAAGCATTTTTTACGAATAATTTGATACCACACACTTGGTATTTCGAGTCAAAATGTCGTTATGAACCGCATGTTACAATTTCAAATAAACCATATGCGAACATGTCAAAAGTTGACATCATATGTCAACTTTTTTATGTCATTCTATTCAGAGTGTCATTTTCTATCAAATAAAGTAAAAAAATACCGAGGGTGCCATTTAAAAATCAAAAATTGTAGTCATTTCCGGTGAAACCGGAAGTGACAGAAAACAATCGAATATGTCAATCAATCCCAATTTAACATAACAAATCTCGTTGTTTTATCTGAAAAAATAAAAAAGTTATAGGAGTGAGCCACTTTTGAGACGCACCCGGTATATTATTCATTTTTAATATGGAGAATTAAAAAATAAACATTTTTATATTTAAAGTATTTCAAAATTTTTAACAGTTGTGTAATATTATATTACATATTGGTATTTCAGCAGTAATTTTTTATCAAAGCCATCTAATTATTAAAGCGCGAATATTTGCGTAACCGCTAAAAATTTAACATGCTTTAAATACAAAAAATGTTAATTTTTTAATTCTCCAACAAAATCTAACAAAAGTGTATTACACAGGGTAATCCATTCAAAAAACCGAATGATTTTTGTCTGGTATTTTACCGTTTTGTTTATGTTATGTTCATTAAAATCAAAGAAGCGTTAACCATACATTACTAACTTATACAGGTGCCTGTGAGCAATACATTTATTTTTATTAGACTGTATTAAAAAAGTCCCTCTTATTTTTCGTTTAGAAGCTATCGCTTCTTTCAATAAATAATAAAGGAAGTTAATAAAGTTCTAGTGTTTAAAAAAAGTCTTATTTATCAAACTGAACAATTAAGTTCAATTAACTTCAAATTCTCGCTCGACCAAAGTGGAACAAAGACAAGAACTTCGACTGAAAACGTGATAGAATCCAAAAACTTCTCGATACGGTAAATGGAAAATCAGAGCGAAATTTTCTAATTACATGAGAGCCCGCTCGAATGGATCTAGACAGGCGTATAATTGAATGGGTGCTCGATAGAGGGCAGGAGTGCCGTTGTGAGCACATTGCGGACATCTCGAGGGGATGCAGTTTTAAATGAAATTATGTAAATGGGTGTGTAGAATACAGTTAATTGTTTAAAACGGATGTGTATAGGGTAAAATTGAGTTCAAAAAATTTATATTTAAAAATATACATCTGTATACATAAATAATTATTGATTTTTAAAATATTATTCGCAAACTAGGGAGAGAGAAAGCATATAACGAACAGAGATGATAGGTGTTAGGTAATAGTTTTTAGATTACCGTTCGAGACGCATTGATGTTACTTTGGTTTGTAGGTCTTAGTTATTGTGACAAAGAATATTATTAAAGGTAAATGTTTCCTCATTATTTAACTAATGTTAACTAAATCCTATTATTTTCATTTCTTGTTCTAATATTCTGTGTTATAGCTTTTCGTTATTTATTTCATCTGAGAATTAGATTATATAATAGCACGAGAGCTAGCAACGTCGGAAAAACAAGTATTCTAAGACGTCTGGCTCTTTGATATATCTTTTACTATGCTCTCCAGAACAGCATGCGCACAGTGGTTCCCATATAGGTCATTACTTAGAAATATTAATTTCAAAATGTTTGCATGAAACTGTTGCTAATACTTTTCTTATATTCCCCTGTAAACGATACATAATAAATAACAAAATCAAGTAAGCCTAGTGTAGCGCTTTTTTTATTAGAAATGTCACATTTTTGCTACTGGTATCAAGCTGACATAAACAGTTTTCAGATAACACCAATTAATTACTTATTTTATTAAAATTGATAAAAGCTGTTGGCTTTTCTGTTATGGACATTCGAAAAGAAGGTATAAAGAACTGTTTTTTTTTTCTTTTTTGCACTTAATTAAACCTAAGTAATATTAATTTATGGCAATTTATTTGAAGGCAACAAAAATAGTATTTTTACATTTTTGCTTGTCAACCTTTAAAACTTTCTTCTCTTTCTTTCTCTTTTTCTCTGTTCTTTCTTTTTACTACTTTCCCTTTCAAATCCTCTTAAACCGCATGAAAATACTTGTTGCTTAAAGTATATTGCATATAAATTAATTGCCACTGGCTGCCGCGAATTGCCGCCGGATCTTATACCGGGTGGTTAAAGATTGACTTTTTGTCTTAAAATAAAAATAACTTATTTTTTCCTCTTCGTGTTAACTTATTTCGTGGACACACTGTATATCAATTGACAATAAAATTGTATTTATAAAATGAAACAACTGTCTCTTTTATTTTTTCAACATTTAAAATAAATTTGACCTCTTCAGTAGGAAAAAACATGTACATAATATGTGCAAACATAATCTGTATACCTTTCCGAATAGTTAGAACTTAAAATGCAAATCACACGAACTGGGCCCAATTTTTTTAATACATATTACATTAAGTTCTTTATACACATTTATTTAGCATTTTTTATCAATTTCTATCAAAAAAGGGGCAGTCAAGCTATATCTAGATATCTAACAGTTATGACCGCGCAGCTAATTAAGGGGAACTACTGTGATGCGGCCCGTCTGGCTCCCGGTAAACGTTGTGTTCCCTACTGCGCGTTGAAAGAAGATCCTATATTTTTATTAGTCCTTTAAATTCTAGTATTGAATATAAATCGAACATGTCTCCATAGCGCAGTGCGTAGAGTTTCCGACCACGAACCGATGATTCAGAGTTCGAATCTGGGTCAGGCCAAAGACTTTTTTATTTTATTTTGGTTTATATTCTGATAGTAAAGTATTAAATATTTGTTTTTTTTTAATCACCAGATTTATTTAATACTTTACTATCAGAATATAAACCAAAATAAAATAAAAAAGTCTTTGCCCTGACCGGGTTTCGAACTCTGAATCATCGGTTCGTGGTCGGAAACTCTACGCACTGCGCTATGGAGACATGTTCGATTTATATTCAATACTAGAATTTATAGGACTAAATTAATAAAAAAATATAGGATCTTCTTCCGATGCGCAGTAGTGAACGCAACGGGTATCGGCAGCCAGACGGGCCGCATGCTGTTCCAGAGAGCATAGTAAAAGATATACCAAAGAGCCAGACATCTTAAAATACTTTCTCAAAAACTTTGCTAGCTCTTAAATTATAACATGTGTATGTATTTAATGGCATCAATTTATGCTGTGAATAATTTCAATTTAAAAGTAATCTAAATACAATCGTTTACTGTCCATGCGTGCCAGTGATTTTGGTTCAGTGTGACTATAATGGCCTTGTATTGAATGTAACATTTTTCGACCGTGACTGGGCAATATCTTAAAATAAAGAACAAAAAGAACAATAAATAGAATAAAGCCGGGACCCCATTAGGCCACACGCCACGCCGCGCAATTCCACCCCACGTCTTGACGGTCTGTGCATATGTTTTTACGTTTAATTACAAGTGTTGTGTACACACTAGGGCTCACGCCACCCCACGCCGCGCCATCCCACGCTATCACACATCTGATGGGAGATTCGTTTGTCCCAGATTTCATGTGTACACTCTTTCCCACGTCGCAACACGTGGACACACATGGGATAGCGTGGTGTGACGTGGAGTTTGACCTAATGGGGTCCCGGCATAACTCATAGACTAAAGATATTTGTAGCAAACCTATCAACTTTAGCTTCGAGCCTGCGGGTGTGGACCTGCTAAACTAACAATAAAAAATATTATGCTTTCAATGTAATAAATGTGGAATGTATTAACCTACAAACCTCGGTATGAGGACAGTTTTTGTAATATTATTCTCTTTTATTAAAGTTCAGAACAACATAGTTGAATTGTTTGGAATTTTGATCAAGATTTTCTCTGCAGTGCTCTTTTACTTATGAATTCCAGGCAGAGTACGGCACTCCTTTGATTTGATTTAATAAATTAAATAGCACTATTTACAAATTTAGCGTTTGATTTACATAACATATTCTCCTGAAATTTCCCTAATATTGCTTCTGTCGAGCGCATCCGAGGTAAGTCAGAATAAAAATATGTATATAGTATCTCAAGTTTTTTCAATGAAAAGATTCTTTTTAAAATAGGTACTACTTATCTGGAAATATCCGATATATGTCTCTAAAATAATATATTGAAAGACAATCAAAATGGTATAGAAGCCTATCATACATGAATTTAAAATGGTACTCAGTCAGTTAATATTTTTAAATTAAATTTAAGATTTTCCATTAAATTTCAGCTATATGTTGCGTATGAATAACGTGAGGGTTGCATAAACAAATATTTTAAAGTTATATTTTTTCTTTAAAGATAAAACTATTGAACGAAGAATAGTTCTAGATATTATAATAAATGTTTCCTAATTTTTTATTAAAAATAATTAATTTTATGATTTTTTTACAGGAGGGGCTGAATCAGGAATATCGTTACAAATTCTACCAAAAGAGAGACCAATTCGCAAAGAGATTGGAAGTAGCTTTGTGTTGACCTGTAGACCTAGCAGTGCACCAGATATCAAATTAGTCACCAATCTTGAATGGAGGGACAAAAATGGGAGAAGGATCGATGTTATTAACAGGGCTAGCCCTATTTTTGTTCAGGTAAGATTATTGCATTTCCCCATATACACACAACTAAACTTATATGGAATCCCTCTTTATTTTTGGCTAAATTTCTTGCAAGGATAAAAATTGGTATACAACTTTAAGATAAGGCTTTTTGTTGTAAATAAACATGATAATAAAGAATAAATGACTGCTGCGATTTTTTTTTTTTGAATTTTGTGTTCAGTAGTAAAATCACGATTGTCCGGTAATTTTCATTCAATCCAAAAAAATTAAAAATTGCCTTATGTTGGCTTAACAGATGTATAGAAGGGAAGAATTATTGCTCTCACTGAACAAGGGATGTTCCAGAGAGATGTTTCAGAGATAGTAGGCGTTACCCAGGGTGTTTTGTATCGAAAACATATCCAAGGTACTTGGAATTAGAAAAACAAAGGATAGGCCCAGACCCAGACAAAGTCGTCAAAGAGTCACAACTGAACAACAAGACCGCCTTGTGTACTAAATTGCTAGAATAAATCCCAATGTTTCTTATCCAGAGCTACAAAGATAACTTCTGGCAGCTACAAGTGTGAACGTTTCAGTTGAAACCATAAGGAAAAGGTTTAGTGCACAAGAGTTAATATCAGATAACCATCGAATTCGGGTTCCCAGAGCTCCAGGAAGACGAGTGAGACTTCAGATTGCCAAATCTGTACCAAGATAAAAAGGAGGAACTGTAATGTTCTGGGGAGCTATTATACTGGGAGTAAAAACACCATTGTTACCACTTCAACAAATTTTAACGGGTCGGAGATATGTTGATTTGGTGCTAGAACCAATCTTTAGTCTTTAGAGAGTTGCAATTGGGGATAATTTTAACTTCATGTACGATAGTGCACCTCCCCATATCACCAGAGTGACTAGAGAATGTTTTGAAACGGAAGATTTCATAGTTTTGGACTGGCCTGCTTATTTACCAGATCTAAACCCTATCGAACACTTGTGAGACTAGCTCAAAAGAAGGGTTAGAGCTCGTTGAAACAATCCAGGAAATCTCGCACAGCTTATTGATGTAGCATTAGCAGAATGGGAAAACATACCCCAAGACAACGTGGATAATTTAATAAGAAGCATGCCAGCGCGGATAGAAGCTTGCACAAGGGCTAGAGTTGGCAACAAGGAATATTAAAATTGTCAATTTTCTTTTTGTTTATGCTTTTTGGCCATTAAAAATTTAAATCTTAAGTTCGTTTCAGAAACCAAAAAAATACCATTTTGTTTATTTCGGGAACAGATTAATTTTTTTATTGCTATATGGTTTATTTTTCATTAAAAGTCATTGGTAAGGACTGATTTTTATTCATAAACACAAAATTTTCATACATCTTAAAAATTATGAAAGATAATTGACGATTTTCCATATAAGTTTGGTTGTGTGTATTTTTTCATACCAATTAAATACTTTCAAAAAGATATCATTTTTACTGGCAATAGTAGAAAAAATGTATCGAATATATCCGCTGAATATAAAATTTTGAATCTAATAGACAATGAGTCCAGCGGCGTATCGTGGATTTATATACAAGGGGATGTAATAAGTAACTGCAATTTTTTTCATTAGTCTACGTTACAAAAATAAAATATACCTACACAAAATGTAACAGGTTATACAGGTATTACATAGATTTTGTAGAGAATTTTATGATCTATAATTTTTGTCTGAGATAATTTTATGATAAAACTTACCGTTTTGCTGAAATTTGCGAAAATTTTTTTTTTTCGGGAATTTTGATCTTTGACCAAAAAATAAAAAAGTATACTTCTAAGCATTTTTTTTGTTGTTTTATTGGATAAAACTGCCCTTCTCATCTCATATTAAGCATTAACATTATAAACAACTATTTTTCCTATAGCTCATTGATACAAAAAAAAAATTCTGCCACCATCAACATAATCTTGCTTGACATATTATTAATCTCACTTTGTGTACTTCCCTATTTCGTTGTGCAACAAAATCACTTCTGCAAATTGAAAAATCCTAGGGAATAATTAATTTCCATCTCGCAGATTAAAATTTAGCACTATCGGAGCTCCATTTACGGCCTTTTAGAGAATGGGGTCTTTCAGAAAGCCTGAATATGAGGGTCAGTACGATATTTTTTCAGCGAAATTCATATGGGCGGGTACATATATAGGGTGACACTCTATTCAGTAAAATATGCTACCAAAAGTTTTCTTTTTGTGATTTCCGTTTATTTATCACATACCTATTAATTTATATATGACAAGAAGATGAATTATACAGTATGTATCAGATAAATGGAAAAAATTCGGTTATAAAAAAATGAAAGCTTATCACTGATACGTACCTTGATATTTTAAGTTACGGTATTATTTTTTCGACAAATACTTTTTATACAGGGTGTAAAAGTGGTCAATGCCTACTTTTTTATTTTAAATTATAGGTACTGTAATATTTAAAATAATAAAATTGGTAGTAAATTAAATATATTAATTTTAATGCATTTAAAAAATTGTTTCTTGTAAATTTCTGTTAAATCCTTAATTTTTCTGATATTCAGTTAAAACATTCAAACGACTGTAATACTGGGAAGTACTAAAGTGAGACAACATTTTGCTAAAGCCACATAATATTTCCGAAACAGTTGAAGATAGGTATTAAGGCAACCTATATGAAATATATCTAGAATATTTTCTGACGACAATTTGAGCAATATATAGGGCGTTGTATTAAAATAAAAGAGTTGGTATTAACCACTGTTTCATGACGCACTCTGTACAAATTCATTTCATAGCCAAAGCTAAGGCCGTTTTTTTTTTCGATTATATTGAAAATATTGTTAAATTTTCCTAAAAGTCGCCAAAATCAAAAGGCGTTTCTATGGTAATATAATTTCGTTTACATGCTTTGATAGATGATTATTATTAATTTTGATTAACGTCATATTTTTTGCTGTTGTTAAAGTATCTTATTTTTCTGTAACTATCACCACCATTTCCGGGGCATTGAACTAAATAAATTTTGTGTACATTTAAATTAATTAATTTAGTCTTTTTTGTTTGCAATTGAGCTGTATAATTTCTGTATTATTAATCCGGTAAATGATGGAGATCAACAATTGTAATTGATTAAAATTTTATGTTAAGATGAAACTTTTCTGAAACAACATTCTGAAAATTCGAATAATGAATTGAATAATGACAAGACAAGTGACAAGTGACATCTGTCTAAAAAAATTTAGAGTGACGATTTGGTTATGTCAAATTTAGACTGACAATTACTGGTTGCCTAACGTAACGATTAACATTAATTTAAAAATAAATCCTCAACTCTGAATTATGAACAAAACATTTAAACAAAAACAGACCACAGACTACACAAAAAAAGTGTTGGTTAGTAGCAGTTAGTAGTCGGAGATATAGATGTAGTAGTATTTTGGTTTAATAGGCTATCCGACCGGGTAATATAATTATTGTTTTTTAATAAAAATTTAAAAAAAAAACATTATAAAATTATAAAGTATAATTATATAAATAAATATAATTTATGTATAAAATAATATATCCTTCAAATCCAATACTATTTTCACATCACCGTTTCCGTGGCATTGAACTAAATAAATTTTGTGCATCTTTAACATTTTAAAATAGCAAAAAATATAATTTTATTTTAAATTCTATCACTACCAATCTGTCAAATAGTCAAATAATGAAATCGAAATTATGTTACCATAGAAACGCCTTTTAACTTTAGGACTTCTTTCTATTAGGTTTTAATCTTGGAAAAAAAGAGCTATTTTTCATACAAAGCTGGGTCCACATATGTAGCATCTTCGTGTATCATATCTCCGTCGCGTTGCACCAACATGTTTCATGATCGCTAGTTTGGACGCCGAATTAACGCGATCATATGGTACACCTTTATGATACCGTATCTGATACATGCCAATCCGAATTTTGGCGCGTATCTTAACACTGCGTATCGGATACACGTATCACGATCTGTCATTTGGACGTGTTTTGATACAGTATAACGATACAATTGACTTGATACGCCGTGACCCGTCTTGAGGCGGTTTTTCTCCGATCTCCGATGAGAAGAATTGATGAACATGATACGACGATACAAGGTGATTTGTTGTACCGTCCATATACAATGATACGCACGCTTGTACGCTGGTACGTATGAATTTTATAAGTATGGACGCTTACTTTGGCACGATATGCATATTCAGTCGACACAGCCCAAATAAACGTCCATATTTACGATACAAGCTCTTGATACGTGATACATGATCCTGATACAATAGAGTGCTACATATGTGGACCCGGCTCAAGACGATAAAATGGTATTTTATCGTCGTGTATAAAACAATATCTTTTTCCATAGCGAGTTACGTTTTAAAAAATATTCAGAAACTATTATTTCAAGGAATTTATTACGACTAGAAAAAATATTGGACTGGGTTGGCGTTGGTTTCTATATAAATTGGCAAATAAATAAAGCTATATCTTTAGTTGTCAGTTTTGAGTCAATATTTTTTTAATTCTCTTTTGTGTCGATCGCTGATTGAATTGGAGCCTGAAATGGCTCAAAACGAAGTAAGTAAATTACCAACAGATATTCAGGCTGAGGCAACAAACGCCATATCCAGACTACTTCCATTTAAATAACCCGAATAATAATGAAAAGGAATACAAAAATTTTCAAAAATGGAAGCAATTAAAAAACGTGCGAGAAGAAAAGTTTGTAACCTATCCTCGTTATTAAAGTATCATTTAAACTACCTTTGCTGTTAAAGTGCTATTTTATCTACTATTTTTGATAGATATAAGGCAATTTTAACTGTTGCTATGGAAAAAACTATATTTTTATGTTTTTTTTTTAATTTTCTCCAAAACGGTATGGAAATTTGAAAATGTATAAATGGGATTAACCGTTTTAGAACAAGCAAAAATTTTTATGAAGAATGCATTTTTCTCAAAAAACTAAAAAAATACAAACTCAATAAATATGTTGATTTTGACTAACG